CACCATACACATACACATCACATAACACAACACATACACATCACCTAACAACATACACATACACATCACATAACACCATACAATACACATCACATACACCATACACATACACTCAAAACACATACACATACACATCACATAACACACATACACATAACACACATACACTACACATCACATACACCACATACACTAACATCACATAACACACTACATCACATACACATCACATAACAACATACACATCACATAACACACATACACATACAACATCACATAACACACATACACATCACATAACACATACACATCACATAACACACATACACATCAATAACACTTACACATCACTTAACACACATACACATCACTTAACACACATACACATCAATAAACACACTAACATCCACATAACAATACACATCACATAACACACATACACATCACACAACACACTACACATCACCAACACACATACACATCACACAACACACATACACATCACACAACACACATACACATCACACAACACACATACACATCACACAACACACATACACATCACACAAACACATACACATCCACAACACACATACACACCAACACACATACACATCACAAACACATACACATCACAAACACACATACACATCACACACACACATACACATCACACAACACACATACACATCACACAACACACATACACATCAACACACATACACATCACACATACACATCACATAACACACATACACATCACATAACACACATCACATAACACACATCACATAACCACAACACAACAACATCACATAACATAACACACACACATCACATAACATAACATAACACACACATCACATCACATCACATAACACACAAACCATCCATAAACACAACACACAAACACATCACTAACACATACATAAACATAACACACATACACATCACACAACACACACATCACATAAACACACACATCATAAACACACACATCACAACACACATAATAACACATACACATCACATAACACATACACATCACATAACTCATACACATCACATAACACATACACATCACATAACTCATACACATCACATAACACATACACATCACATAACACATACATCACATAACACATACACATCACATAACACATACACATACATAACACATACACATCACATAACACATACACATCACATAACACACACACATCACATAACACATACATCATAGATCACGTAACACACACACATAACACATACATCATAGATCACGTAACACCACACATCACTCACATTACATCATAGATCACGTACACACACATCATAACACATACATCATAGATCACGTAACACACACATCACATAAACACATTCATAGATCACGTAACCACACATCACATACATCATAGATCACGTAACACACACATCACATAACACATACATCATAGATCACGTAACACACACACATCACATAACACATACATCATAGATCACGTAACACACACATCACATACATCATAGATCACGTAACACACATCACACATCACTTAACACACTCACACACACATCACACATCACATAACACACAACACACACACATCACATAACATACACACATCACACATCACATAACACACACACATAACAAACACACATCACATACACACACACACACCACATAACACACACATCACAACCACATAACACACACACACATCCACATCACATAACACACACACATCACACATCAACACACAACATCACATAACACACACATCACATAACACACACACATCAATACACACATCACATAACACACATCACATAACACACTACACATCATAACACACACATCACATAACACACACATCACTTACACACACACATCACACATCACTTAACACACACACATCACACATCACTTAACACACACACATCACACATCACTTAACACACACACATCACATCACTTAAACACACACACACATCACTAACACACACATCACTTAACACACACCACATCACACATCATTAAACACACACATCACACATCACTTAACACACACATCACACATCACTTACACACACACATCAACATCACTTAACACCACCACACATCACACATCACTTAACACACACACATCACACATCACTTAACACACACACATCACACATCCCTTAAACCACACACATCACACATCACTTACACACACACATCACACATCACTTAACACACACATCACACATCACTTAACACACACATCACACATCACTTAACACACACACATCACATCACTTAACACACACACACACATCATCACTTAACACACACCATCATACACACACATCACACATCACTTAACACACCACACACACATCACACATCACTTAACACACACACACATCACACATCACTTAACACACACACACATCAACATCACTTAACACACACACATCACACATCACTTAACACACATCACACATCACTTAACACACACACACATCACACATCACTTAACACACACACACATCACTTAACACACACACACATCACACATCACTTACACACACAATCACACATCACTTAACACACACACATCACACATCACTTAACACACACACACACTCACACATCACTTAACCACACACACATCACACATCACTTACACACACACACATCACACATCACTTAACACACACACACATCACACATCACTTAACACACACACATCACACATCACTTAACAACACACATCACACATCACTTAACACAACAACATCAACATCACTTAACACACACACATCACACATCACACACACCACATACATCACTTAACACACACCACACAACTCACTTAACACACACACATCACACATCACTTACACACACATCACACATCACTTAACACACCACATCACACATCACTTAACACACACACACATCACTTAACACACACAACATCACTTAAACACACACATCACTTAACACACACACATCACTTAACACACACACATCACACATCACTTAACACACCACATCACACATCACTTACACACACACATCACACATCACTTAACACACACACATCACACATCACTTAACACACACACATCACACATCACTTAACACACACACATCACACATCACTTAACACACACACATCACACATCACTTAACACACACACATCACACATCACTTAAGGACCGTCCCGGAGAGAGGGGGAGGAGGGGGTTAAATTGAGTTAGTTAGCGTATAGTATAGGTACATGGATGAGGAAACTAAACGAGTATTAACCGCCTGCTATGGCTCGTTGTCTTGCAGCCGGCGTGCGAGTCCCTCAGCACCGGAGAGGTACGTCGCTATGAGCGCCCAGTACACCTATGTGGACTTTTGCTTGCGGCAATCGTGCATAAGGCATTTAATTATGACATTGCGCATAGATATGAGTTCGTGAATGTTCAAGGAACACTTTTATACCAATATCAGAAAAAAATTATTCACCGTGATTTATGACGAAATATTTTGTGAAATATATCTAAAAAAAAATGTATGTTTTTGTCCTTTTACACACGAAATATGCTTTGATCGAGACTCCCTGGTAATATGTTTTAGTTTA